TATGGAATTTTTAAACGGAACATTTTTATCGTTTCTATTACAATTGAACAATTTCCTGTTTATTCAAGCATTTCGAATGTTTTCATCAAATATTGTACGTGTTTTTATGAAAATCTGTAAACAAATTGATCGTAAAGGGAGTTTTCACGTGAAACAAAAAAAACTTTCTTTCTGCGATTTCAATTTACTTTTGGACCGGAGATTGCTTTCCATTTAAATACAATTTGCAATTTATTACATTAATTAGCAGTTTGCATTTCAACCGACAAAATGAACACGAAGTAGCTAATCAATGCAGATTAAGTGAACTGAGTGAACAATTTAAATTCACGAAACCAATACAGTGACGTGATGTTTACTTTGAAACTTACTTTACGTTTAATACTACAGTCGATTTGTATAAATCCGGTATATGAATAAACGAACGGGTAGAATGGCTACTGAATTCTTCACAAAGTATTTTCTTCGACAATTGAAACGTGATTACGTATCAGAGAATGGAAAGGAAACAGCGCGTTTCCTTTAGCAAACTAATGCTTAGCACACATAATTTTTCACGTTCGAAAGTTTATACAAGGGTCAAATATTAACTGTTAGTATAAACGAAGCTTGAGGAATAATCAAATTTTTCTCGTCACAATACTAAATTACAATGTTAAGTTCTCGAATGTTTACCAAGCTCCAAATTCTCAAAATACTCGTACACTATATCTATCAAATTAAAGCAAGTGAAGTTTAAGAAATAACGAAGAAAATTTTTGTCCCACTATAGGTTAAGTTCTCAAATTTTTATTAAGCTCCAAATTTTCAAAATACTCAAAGCATGTACAGTATCTATGAGATGAAAACAATTACAAATTGAATTTTCAATTTCTCAAACCAAGTAAATATTTTTTACTGCTTTTTAAGGTAGCAGAGGAAAAGAAGAAAATGGATGAAATTCTACAAAATTGAATACTTTTCTCATTTTTTGAAATTTTAAATCCACAATTTTGTTTTATTCCATATACAAGAACTTTACCATCGTTTTAGCTAATAAAAAGCTGTGAAAGTTACCATTAAAATTTCAACGAATCATCAAAATTTTCCACTGTTTTCTAGTTTTCAACGAACAAATTCTAACGTAAGAAGAAAATTCCATATGTACAAGAATTTTACGATTCTTTTAGCTGCGAATAATACTATTAAAATTTCGACATTGATCGTCCAGATTTTTCCACTTCTTTCCAATCT